TGGGCTCCTGCGCCCTTGGCCCCGCCGGCCCAGCTGCCGCTGGTGTCGTCCGGCCGGCTTTCGGCAGCGAGGCGCTTCATCTCCTCCATCGTCTTCCTGCGCGGCCCCGTGTCGCTCGCCTCGTCGGCCGCTCCCTTGGACACCTCAACCGCACGCTCCGCCGCGCTGGCCCCAGCCACCGAGGCCTGGAAGCCGAGGTCCCTGGGCCCAATCATGTCGAGGTCCATGTAGCTGTTGCGGTCCACGAAGCGCTTGACCTTGGGCTCGTCCGGGTACACCTCCGACAGCCGCGACTCGAGCCGCTGGATGGCGGCCGTGTCGCCAAAGCTGTACTCGTAGTCGGCCCAACGGTCCCAGATCGGCCGCGCCCGCTCCGGAGGGAAGGTGCCGATGGTGCGCTCAAAGAGGGCGCGGGCGTTGCTGTCGTCGTTGATCGAGATGAGGAAGTCGAGGTAGCGCGCGACAAACGCCTCGTCCTGCCCAAACGTCTTGAGAGCCAGCTCAAACACCTTGGTGGCCACACCGGCGTCCTTGGAGCAGTGGTATTCCATGAGCGCGCTCGCCTCAAACACCTGCCAGGTGCAGTGCGGGCTCTTCCGCGCCCGGCCAAACACGGTCCGCGTGGGGCGGATGCCGCCGGTGCGTCGGTGGAAGTGCATGTACTTGATCCAGACCAGGGCGGCGGCCTCCTTGAGTCCCTCGATCTCGGGCCGGCTCGCCTCCTCGCACTGCGCCTTCTTGGCCTGCCGCTGTTCGTCGACCTTTCTCTCGAGCTCACGCTGCTCGCCGTCGATGTCGACGTCGCCGTCGCCCTCGTCGACCCGCTTGGCGGCTGCCTGGGCCCGTTCCAGTTCCGCCTCGGTATCAATGGCCCGGAGCGTCTGCTCCAGCTGCGACTTGCGCGCATCGATCTTGGCGTGGATGTGCTCGAGCAGTGCGTCGAACACCGCGCCGCAGTCGGCAGTCGTCTTGCGGATCTCGCAGAGCTCGACGTAGGCGAACGGAAGCAGGAAGCTGCAAGGAGCGTAGGATCAAAAGTGGATCAGTCCAATGCCTCCGGGAGAAGCAGAGCCGAGTCGCGCTGATCGCCCCTCTCACCTTCCAGGACACGCCTCGATGCCTTCCTTGAGCCACTCGGCCGCCTCGTCTTGCCGATCGACGGATGAGAGAAAGAGCGATGCCATGTACCTGGACGCACGAGCGAGATGAGAATGGACAAGGTCAGCGCCGCGGCCGCCATCGTCATCGCGAGAGGGACCAGTCGCCTTGGCACCTCGCCGACTCACCAGATCTCGGGATAGAAACGCATGAACATGGTCGCCTTGCGGTAGGCCGAGAGCACGCGGGCCTGGTGCGCCGCCAAGTCCTCGAGGAGCAGCGGGTTGCTCTCCTCCCACTTGAGGTACTGCTTCCACGCCTCGACCTGCGCACGCTCCTTTTCCCACGCCGCGCCGCCGCCGGCGGCATCGCCCGAGACGGGTGCGGTGGTCCACACGGGGATGCGGGGCAGCAGCGGGCGGGCGAGGTTGTCGGAGCGCGCCTTGAGCTCGCGCAGCACCCGCCGGGCGGTCATGTAGGCGGGCGAGCGCTCGGCGAGGAACTTCTTGGCGGTGAGCTTGTTGAGGCCGTTTTCGTAGGCATCGTAGTCCTTCCAGATGGCCTCGACGTTGGCGACGGGGACGCTGACGGCGCGCTGGTAGACGCGTCGCAGGTCGTCCATCTTCTGGCCCTCCTTCCAGCCGCCGCGAGCCTCGCGCTCCTTGATGAGCGAGATGTAGTCCATCCAGATCGGTCCGCTGTCCTTGTCCATGCCGGTGTGCTTGAGCGCAAACTCGTAGGCACCCTCGAGGACGCGCCTCGCCTGCTCCCTGGGGCCATCCTCGTCAGCGCCACTGGGAGGCGGCAGCGGATTGACGCGTCGGGTGTAGGACAGGTAGAACTTCCACAGGTCGACCGAGGGCGTCGAGCGGAGGCAGCGGGTGAAGATGGCCTCGACCTGCGCGAAGTTGGAGTGGGCCAGCTCGAGGTCGGCATAGGCGATCCACTGACGGCCTTGACTCGGGAAGGTCTTGAAGAAGCCGTCGTAGAGGCGGCGCGTGTCGTCCATGTCCTCGCGGTTCTGCGCCTCCTCGATGAGGGCGAGCCAGGCCTCGCCGTCCCTGGGCTCGTTACGGACGCGCTCCTCGAGCATCTTCTTGCGGTCGCCGGCCGTCATCTGCGTCTGCGTCTGCGACTGCGAGGACCTCATGGCAGCGGGCGCAGTTGGGATTGCCATGGCTGTAGCCCGTGTTGGTGCCGGCGGCGTTGCTGTCGATGTCGTCGTCGGCGCCGTTGCGGTGCTGGAAGGGGTCGGACGCTTCCCGAGCACGCTCGCTTCCGAGCCTGGCGTGGATGTCGGGTTGGACGTGGCGGTCGCCGACGGCGGCTGGGGAGCCATGGACGCAGGAACCTCGGTGGCGAGCTCCTGGCGCGTCTCTTGGGCCTGCTGGTCCTCGGTCGCCGTCGTCGTTGTCGTCGTCGCCATCGTTGCATCGCCGCTCGCATCCACAGTCGCCGCAGGGGCTGTCGACGTCGCCGCCGCCGTCGAATCAGGCAGAGAGGCAGGGGCTTCCTGGGCAGGCTCGGGGGCGCCATCGTCGCCGCCCACATCCATCTCGGCCTCGCCATCGGCATCGGCGTCGGCATCGACCTCGGCATCGACCTCGGCATCGGCCTGGCCACTGTTGGTCTCGCCGCCGCCAGCAGCCGCAGCGGCGTCGCCATCGGCATGCACCGGGGCATCTGGATTGGCGCCGCTCTCGTCGGGCGCTTGAGGCGCATCTGGAGCGGCCTGGTCCGTCTCGGCCGTCTTCTCCTCACTTTCCGCGATTTCGGCAGCAGGTGCAGACGCTGCGTCTGCTTCTGCTGCGGGCTCAGCTGCGGGAGCAGGCTGCTGCTCGGGCGCGACGTAAGTGTCCGGCTCCTGCTCCACTTCTTCTCTCATGGTGCCACGCATGATGGACGAGGAAGGCGTATGAGAACGGCGAGGGGATTGGAAGACAGGATGTACGGGAGCGTGGCCTTTCTATCGTTCCTTGCGCTTGAACAGCGGGCCTGCGAATCTAAGCAGGGGATGGATGCCACCAGACCTTTGGCGAGCAGTCTCACGCCAGTCGAAAGCACAGGTGGGCAGACAGTCGCACGCAAGCCGCACGGCAAAGGGTGATCGCAATATGCAGTTTTGGATGCGCGCAGAGGATAGGAGCGCGCGGGCGAGGTGTGGAAGGATTGGGGGGGTGGAATGGGCGGGACGCGAAGGTGAAGGTGGTGGTGGTGAGAGATATGGGGAGGCCGAGCCAGGTCAGAAGGAGGCAGACGGGACAGGAAAAAGCCGCCCGCACAGCGAGGCGGACTGGCGGCCCCGCTCTGCGTGATCGCCGACGTTTTGGGCTTCCCACCTGGCCTGCCTCACCCGCCATCTCCCGTCTCCCGATCCTCCACCTTTGCTTGCCTCGCCTTTCCCCCTCACCCGGCTGCTCTGTGACCTTGACTTCTTCTTGCTTCACCTCCCACCTCCATCGATCCGCTTCGTCTCGCGTCCATCCTCCACGCACCCATGTCGAGCTCGACGCGCTCCCTCTTCCGCGCCGCCGCATCCGAGCGCAAGGCTGCGGGGAGCAGCGGCATCCAGGACCCGTTTGCCTCGTACAACCCCAGCACGGGCGCGCTCCGCTGCTCGGCGTGCAACTACCTGGCCATCAAGCACGAGAGCCTCTGGGCATCGCACGCTTCCAGCAAGAGCCACAGGACCAACGCGGCGAGGATCAAGGCCGAGAGGGAGCGGCAGGACGAGGCGCTCCTGGCGCGTCAGAGCGCCAACCACGAGGGCAAGCGCAAGGCCGACGACGATGGCTACGGCCAGCCGACGGAGAGAGGACAGGGCACCGGAGAGGGAGACTCGAAGCGGGCCAAGGTCGATACGGAAACCGCGGCTGGTGACGCCGGCGCCGAGGACATTGATCCCGAATGGGAGGCGTTCCAGCGCGAGATTGCCGAGGCCGAGGCGAGCGCCACCCAGGCAGCGGATCCGGTGCAGGCGCAGTACGCCAGTGCCACCATCGAGGTCGAGCCGGTGATCAAAGGCCGAGGAGCGGACGCAGCAGCAGCGGCAGGCACCGCCGATGGCGAGGGCGGCGAGGGTCAAGATGGGCAGCCCGCCGAGGAGGAGACCGAGGAAGAGAGACGAGCGCGGCGAGAGCAAGAGGAGCGCGAGGAGATCTACTCGCGGTACGAAGAGGAGCAGCGGATCCAGGACGAGGCCGAGGAGCGGTGAGTGCGGGCGAGCATAGGACGAGCGACCCGTACTAGTCGGTCGACTGCTGCTGACACTCGGTCGTTGCTCTGCCCCCCCAATCCCCTCTTTGAATGGCCGTGTCTAGGGTGTCGGCGCTCAAGGCCAAGCTGGAGCGGCTCAAGGCAGCTCGCCTGGCCAAGAAGCAGAAGCAGCCGCCTCAACAAGTGCGAGATGGCGACAAGAAGAGGGAGGAGGAGGCGGCTTAGAAGGGTCTTGCCGTCGCTGCTCCCGACGGCATAGAGGCCGCAGACTGTAGAGGCGAGCTGCTGCCTTTGGTCGTCGGTTTCGCACCCCATTGATACCCGTCTTGGCGCTGTTGGACTGTGTGCTGCTGCGCTTTTGGCATCGTAGCATTCGTTGTCGTCGGCCTGTTTTCCAGCTGGGTGGACGCAGCGAGCAGATGGCGCGCTCCCGGCCAGGCCCTTTGGCTGAGCGCGGCGCGTGCAAAGGTCGGCCTGGAAGCCCGCCGCGTGTGGAGGTGGTGGGCCCGGGTCGCGGCCAAAGAAAGCTCGAGAAGCTTTGGCCGGCCAGCTGGGGTGCAGCGCCTCGTCGCGGGCCACTGAGCCAGGCAGCCAGGCAGCCAGGCAAGGCAGCCCTGGCCGCCCAGCGCAGCCAGACAGAAGTGCAGCGAAGCGGAAAGGCCAGCCCGTGATCGAGCCACGCAGCAGAAGAACCCTACCCTGCCCCAACCTTGACCTTCGCTCCCACTACTCTTACTCGCTCCCTCCCTCCTCTCGCCACCGCCACCATCTCTCTCTCTCTCTCTCTCTCTCTCTATCCGTATATACCCCTTCATCGCCACCTCGACCACCCCGCAACCAACGCCCATAGGCTATCCATCGCCCCATCTAACCCCGCTCTCAAGCAACAGACGACACCCACCATGTCGGCCGCCGAGCTCAAGGCCAAGGGCAACGCCGCCTTCGCCTCCAAGGACTACACCACCGCCATCCAGCACTACACCGACGCCATCGCCGCCGCATCCTCCCCCGAAGACGCCGTCCACGTCCTCTACTCGAACCGCAGCGCGTGCTACTCGGGCCTCAAGCAGTGGGACCAGGCGCTCCAGGACGCAGACGAGTGCATCAAGGCCAACCCCGACTTTGCAAAGGGCTACGGCCGCAAGGGCGGCGCACTCCACGGCGCACGCAAGCTCCAAGAGGCCGTCGACGCCTACAAGCAGGGCCTCGACAAGGCTCCCCAGGACGCCGGCCTCAAAAAGGGCCTCGAAGACGTCCAGCGCGCCCTCGACGCCGACGCCGCCTCGGGCCCCGAGGCGTCCATCGGCAACATGTTCAGCGACCCGGACATGTTTTCCAAGATCGCCGCCAACCCAAAGACGGCCCCGCTCCTCGCCGACGCCGCCTTTGTCGCCAAGCTGCGCCAGATCCAGGCCAACCCCAAGGAGGCCGGCATGGCCTTCCAGGACCCCAGGATGATCCAGGTCATGGGCGTGCTGATGGGCATCGACCTCCAGGCCTTTGAGAGGCCCCAGGGCTCCGACGAGCTGCCCGCCGACCTCGAGGGCAAGCGCGACCAGATCGACGCGCAGACCAAGGCGGCGGCCGCGGCGGCCGCGCCATCGGCGGAGACTGGTGCCGAGGCCTCCTCGTCGTCGTCGTCCAAGCCTGCCCCCGCTCCGGCAAAGGACGAGGCTGGTACAAAGACGGCAGCGCCGGCCGAGGACGTCGAGATGCACGATGCGGCGGGCGACGACGACAAGAAGGCCAAGGAGGCGGCCGACGCCGAAAAGAAGCTGGGCAACGAGCGCTACCTCAAGAAGGACTTTGAGCCGGCCATCGCCCACTATCAGAAGGCGTGGGAGCTGTACAAGGACATCACCTACCTCAACAACCTGGCGGCGTGCTACTTTGAGCAAGGCCGGTACGACGAGTGCATCAAGACGTGCGAGACGGCCGTCGAAGAGGGACGGGCGGCGCGCGCCGACTACAAGCTGATTGCCAAGGCGTTTGGGCGGATCGGCACGGCGTACGCCAAGCAGGACGACCTGGAGCGCGCCATTGCCAACTGGAACAAGTCGCTCACCGAGCACCGCACGCCCGACGTGCTGGCCAAGCTGCGCGACGCCGAGAAGCTGCAGCGCGAGCGGGCGCGCCAGGCCTACATCGACCCGGCCAAGGCCGAAGAGGAGCGCAACCGGGGCAACGAGCTGTACAAGAAGGGCGACTTTCCCGGCTCGGTCTCGGCCTACTCGGAGGCCATCAAGCGCGACCCGTCGGACCCGCGCGGCTACACCAACCGCGCCTCGGCCTACACCAAGCTGGCGGCGCTGCCCGAGGCGCTCAAGGACTGCGACGAGGCCATCCGGATCGACGCCAAGTTTGTCAAGGGCTACATCCGCAAGTCCAACGTGCTCTTTGCCATGAAGGAGTACACCAAGGCCATGGAGGCCATCCAGCTCGCCGAGACGGTCGACGCCGAGCAGGAGGGCGGCGCCAAGAATGCGCGCGAGATCCAGCAGCAGAGCGCAAAGTGCATGCAGGCCCTCTACTCGCAGCGCAGCGGCGAGTCGGACGAGGAGACGCTCCAGCGCGCCATGCGCGACCCGGACGTGGCCGCCATCATGCAGGACCCCGTCATGCAGAGCATCCTCCAGCAGGCCCAGGGCAACCCGGCCGCGCTCCAGGAGCACATGAAGAGCCCCATTATCCGCGACAAGATCCACAAGCTCATCGCCGCCGGCATCATCAAGACGCGCTGAGCGGCCAAGGCGAAAGGCGAGAGGCGAGAGGCGGCCGAGGGAGATCTCTCGACTCCCGCCGAGGGAGAGGCGAGGAGAGGCGGCGGCGAGAGGTGACGTGTAAATAGCAACGACCACAACAAAACGCAGCGGTCGAGCGGTCGAGCGAGGCGTACGAGCCGGCAAAGTCGCCCGAGGGAGGACGGACGGACGGACGGACGGGAGCCGACCTGCCTCTGCAATGTCGCTTCTGCTGCTGCAATGGATCACCGCACATCCACCATGATTACCGAGACCGTCGCAGACGTCGTTTGTATGCCTGCCTGTGTGTGTGTGTGTGTGTGTGTGTGTGTGTGTGTGTGTGTGTGTGTGTGTGTGTGTGTGTGTGTGTGTGTGTGTGTGTGTGTGTGTGTGTGTGTGTGTGTGTGTGTGTGTGTGTGTGTGTGTGTGTGTGTGTGTGTGTGTGTGTCGTGTGTCGTGTCGTCGTGTCGTCGTCGTCGTCGTCGTCGTCGTCGTCGTCGTCGTCGTCGTCGTCGTCGTCGTCGTCGTCGTACGTCGTCGTCGTCGTACGTCG